GTTGTGGGGAATGCCTTGAGTTCACAAAAGTATCTGCTTTTTATGTAGAAAGGCTCATCATAAACTTGCCTGTGCCTTGAGTTAATGCCGATCTAAGAAATGGTAAAACTGCAGGAACTGATAATAAAATTGCTGACATCTATGGATGAAATGCAGTAAACTACCACGAAGCAATCTGCACTTCCAGAAAAAACAGTAATACTAATTTCAGATAGCAGATCTTGAGACTTTCAAGCTGTATCTTCCTAATGTGTTAGAGGAATAAATGATGTTTGAATGGTTTTTAGAGGATTGCAAAAGATGAGTCAATCATATGACATAACAGTGATCCTAGGATGAACGATAGATTCACCTATCACTTTCAACCAGAACTCTACTGCTCAAACTCAACCAGTTCCTGCTTGCCAACATTAAAGTTAGATGCTATATTATTACAGCTCAAATGAGAAAGAAAAAAAAGATAACAGAAGGGAGAGTATAACAAATTGAAATGCTGCAAAATAATTTTAGAAGATAATCCAAGCCATAGCTAGAAACCAGTGGTGAAATTCAATTTTTTTTACTACCGGTTCTTGGTGGGTGTGGTGTAGCTTGGTGGGCATGGCTTGGTGGGAGTGGCAGGGGAAGGATACTGCAAAATCTCCATTCCCACCCCACTCTGGGCCAGCCAGAGGTGGCATTTGCCGGTTCTCCGAACTACTCAAAATTTCCACTACTGGTTCTCCAGAACCTGTCAGAACCTTCTGAATTTCACCTCTGCTAGAAACTCTTCTAAATATTCCAATGACTCTGAAAAGCACCATGCAGCTTCCTTGACTGTTGTGTGGTGCCCACATATGGTGGGAAGAACACATCTTCTGGATGTGAGTTAGCTGTTGTGAATGACTATCTACTGGATTTTCCTCAGTAGGGAGAGGTAGTGAGAGCTTTTCTTTTGGGGCTGTGGCTGGGTCAAATTCAGATGTCCTCTTTCTGGCTGTTGTTACAGTCCTTCATCAATAATCTTGTTACTTTCTGAGTTTGGAATCTGAGGGTCTACAGATGAAAGTCTCTTCCTACTCTTGAGGGATCTATGTGTCCAATTTAAATGATGGACCAGAAGCAGAAGCAAGGGATGTGGTGGCTCAGTGACTAAGATGCTGAGCTTGTTGATCAGAAGGTCAGCAGTTCGGCGGTTCAAATCCCTAGCACCACATAAGCGAGTGAGCTCCCATTACTTCTCCCAACTTCTGCCAACCTAGCAGTTCAAAAGCACGTAAAAATGCAAGTAGAAAAAATAGGGACCACCTTTGGTGGGAAGGTAACAGCTTTCCATGTGCCTTTGGCGTTTAGTCATGCTGGCCATATGACCATGGAGACATCTTCGGACAGTGCTGGCTCTTCGGTTTTGAAATGGAAATGAGCACCAGCCTCTAGTGTCAGGAACGACTAGCACATATGTGCGAGGGGAACCTTTACATTTAGCTTAAAAGAAGCAGTGGGAATGATAAAGCCTGTAAATTAATTTCAGGTTCATGGTGATGTTCTTTTTATTTTCCATACATCTTGTCACTTGGCTGATTATCTGGCTCAAAAACTAAACAAGGTCAAACCTGCTTGGTACTCAGATAGGGGGGATCTCTACAGAAAAACAGGTTTGTTGACTAAAGTAAGTGGAAATCCATCCTGAAAGGATTCAATGTCGAGAGATTTCCACCATGTTGCCAAGAAAACTGTGCAGCTGTGCCTCTGTAATCATGAAGAACTCAGCTCAAATTAAGCCTCAAGCATTTCTAAAGCCAGAATTTGAGGACAGAAGACCAATGTAAGGCATGAATTTAGAGATGATGATGAAGATGATGATGATTCAGTCTGATAGCACATGAAATTAAAAGATTATCCAGAGAAATTGGCATAATAGCCTTAAGACATTCTGTGGTTTCCTAATGCTTTCTTCTTTTCTTACAATGCACCTTATACATAGATCCCCGATCCCCTCTCTTTCATGTAGCAGAAATGCTGTATTTCTGTATTTTTCTGAGAGAGAAAGGGAGAGAGAGAGAAGGGGAGGAGGAGAGGAGGAGGAGGTGGAGGAAGAGGAAGAGGAAGAAGAAGAAGAAGAAGAAGAAGAAGAAGAAGAA